TTATGAGCTAATTAGAACATAATAAAATAGTAGTAATGCATATGGTATCTGATTGTTAATCTAAAATATCCGGCATTTGATGAATCCAATTCATATCAAGATTATAATTACGTACTACAAAGTCTTTTGTAGATTTCAAGAAAGATCTAGGTGAATGTATGACGCTAGTCCTTGGTTCAAATTTTGCGTACTAGTATAAATAATCCTAAAATCGGTTTAACCTTGCTAGTATTCTGTACTGGTTTATCCACTATATTCTAGCTTTTAATTTACTTTACATTAAATGTCACTAAACAATGTTGCAGCTATAACTAAGATCTACATCCTGTAAAATGATACAGAAATCATGGATCATCAGGCATAGTGGCGCCTTTTTTACTAAGTGGCAACGCTAAATTTAACTATCTTATTTTAGCTTTTTCTTTGAGCCCATGATGTTCAATTGATCAAGAGAATAATTACCCTTAAATGTAGAAAAAAGTGTTGGCTTTTGATTTGAAAATCTGTGCTGTTTTAATAATAAAGTTCATTCATATTCGTGTACAATATTATGAAATTTACTATCAATGATAGGTATAACCTTTAATTGCGGCCATAGGTAGCATCTGTGATACCATAAAGTTAATGTTATGTATCGGAATTTGTTATCAAGGTTACAATCTCAATTCATTTTATTTGATCAGATCTCACAGGCTCCAAAAATTGGTAATTATTGTATACTTGCCTCATTGCGATGATCTCTTTTCGTATTTACAAATTTATTGCTACGTTCAATCGTGGTTTTGTAACGATATTTATAGTCTTAAAATTCTTCAGTTTTACGATTTTCAGTGTCGGATATAAGTTCTGGCTAAGAAAAAATTAAGCGATATATATATATGTATAATATTTTGAGAATAACTGCTCTATTGTGGTTTGTAACTCTATTTACAGTCTCGCAAATTCTTTAATTTTACGCTATCTAGGTGTCACAAACTAACTTAGTGACAAGGATAACGTAAAACAAGTCTCTAAATTACTAAAGCCTCCGGAATTCAGTATCCCTCAACTATCTCACAAGAATTTAGACACCTTTGCTTCTACGTTAAACAACTAGAGAATTCTTATTTCACACAGCCATTTACCGAGCTTAAATACTCTTCGGCAGCAGCTATCATGAATAAGTCATCATAAGATTATGAATTTCAGTTCATATTGAATAGCTAAATTAATACAGAGACATTCATAATCGTAGACATAAACTGAATGATCTTAGATAATTAGACTACAGTATGTTTATTCACAAAACTATTTATGATATCATCTATAGGTAAATATCTTCAGGATATAAATCATAAGCGTTACAAGACATAGTATTAAATCAATGTAACATCAGTTACTATATAAGAACTCTTACTGCACTGCAACACAGTTTACTGTATCAAAATAATCGCTACCGTGGTTCTTATTGTAAGCCATCAATAGTTATAGCCATACCAGGATCTAATATAAGTTTTAGCTAAGAAGAAAAGATACATGTGCATGTCATATTTTGAGAATGTTCAGTCTATTGTGATTTTGTAACGATATTTGCCGCCTCACAAATTTTATAATTTAATGCTTTTCAAATTTCGGATATTTAATATTTTAGATTGATAAGATTCAAATTTTTATTTGATCAAGCTTTACCAACAAAAACTAGTGAATAAAAAACTAACATCAACAATTTCATTTCAATATTTTATTTAATAGCGTTATTAGTTCACCCAATATTGATAGCGTATATTGCAAGCAAAAGACTGTAGAACATGAAAATGATAGTTTTAAGAACGATTTTTAAGATTGCTTAGATCGATTTTACTGCTAATATCGATGATTAATCCTAGATCAAACTTTTTATTTTACTGGTAATATCTTGCTATCCTATTAGTACTTCCATACCAGTCTCTCAGCATTGCTAATCATATTTAAGTGGAACTCTTTATTTTTTGTCTTGAGTACGCTATCCTTTTACCTGGTCTATAACTGAGGCAAATATATATTCGTTCGTATCAATAATTACCATGGTATTTTTCAATGAAGATGTATGTGTTAGCTAAAAATACCCTACTATCTTGCTTCCATTGGAGAAACTTAATTACTAGCCCGTATATTAATTCTCAATCTGACGTTTTCCTTTTTATAAATTGATAAAATTATCAATCAGACAGTTCAATAATCTGTTAAAAACCATCGTATCCAAATAGTCTACAAGGTATTTAGAATAGCGAATAATAATACTACACATGAATAATTGAAATGGCATTAAGAAATATCTTGTTTATTCTTTTCAAGTATAGACAAAGGATGTCAGATACAAAAAGAAAGAAATTATTGATGCAAATTGAGTAAGTTATAAAAAAAAATGAATATACATCAAGTTTAAATATTATAACCAATTACGAAATACAGAACCAACATTAGAAATAGGATCAAAATGCATTAACAAGCAGATAGCGCTATGGAAATGAAATTTCTAACGTTACATTCTGAAAAATTTTAATAAGATATAAATTGAAGATATACATAGGATTTATTCTATAAAATGTGAAAGTATTGATGCCTAAAATTCTATTGAGCTATAACCTATTTGTCATTCATACCAGTACAATAAGCTAATCTGAACGAAATTTAATATACTATTTGCAGACAAATTTCTAGTGATATTCACACATTCTTAATAACGTACAAAGCTTTCAAAGAAATAGAAATAGTTTAATTAAGTCAAATAAGATCGGTTCTCTATCCTATTTTAACAATAAGGCAAGAACCTTAGTTATAGTTTTACGATATTCATATATCATCAATTTATGAAGTTTTGAATGAATAGACGGAAGTTTGATCTAGCATAATAGGATCTATTTTCTATCGTTTGCGACAGTAAGTCTAGATTTTAGTCTAATAGGACCTAGGCTCTATTAATATTAACGAAAAGCTTCGATCTTGATATGAAATACTTCGATAGCGCTAATTATGAATCATTAATAATGTGTCGAGAAATTTCAGTAAATGAATGATAACTATTTAATCTAGCAAGAATTATTTAGTATACAAGTTTGCTTGATAGCCAAAATATCATGAGCTCGACTGTATGACAGTAGTTTTGCTACAATATTTGAGTATCATTAATGCATATTACATTGCAATCGAATAGATCATAGTTTAATAATTCAAATAGAATAGATTTTATATGACCATTTCGGATTAAAAATCGCTTAGATTAACCAAGATGAAGGAGTCTAATTATAAATAAAGTAATAGGCTAAGACGATACTGTAATTAGCTCCGATCGACTGAATCCTGTAAATTAATAGTTAAAAAAGCATAAATCACAGCAAGCGTGGCTAAATTAATCATTTAATCAGATCAAGGAGTAAACCTATTAGTACAGTAAAAAGTGATGATTTGAAAACTTGGATAATTTTAATGAAGCCATATCAGAGAAATTTGATAATTAGAATGGCTAATAAGCCGTAAAAAATTCTTATTTCATAATTGAACAAGGTCTATAATCAGAATTAGCATGTCGAATAGTAAATATGTCTCCATGTCGGCTTCAATTCTAACAATTTATAAAACCTTGAATCAAGAAGACTGTGCAGTTCGTTAGTCGAGGTTATTTCTATAGTGAAATAAGAGGTTTTAATGGTCTATTTTTCTTCTAGTTATCCAATTTTTACAAGTCAAAATAGAGAGCAACTTTTAAGATATAAGTATCATAATAAATAGTACAATTAAGGATGAGTCTAGATTCCATTGAGCCAACTGCATCTGTTAAAGGGTGGATTCCATTGGAAATAGTCTGTAGACTTTAGTTTAATAAATGATTAACTTGGCTTTACAACGAAAGGTTACTATTATTTTGATTAGCATAATCTCTAATATGTAAATGGCAATTCATATAATTCCGTAATTAATGATGTAGTGCCATTCTTTTAATTTCAATCCTTGTACAGTACTCTTGTGCCTAGACTACATAGAAAAGATGATTAATTCATGAATCTCTCATCATTAATACAATATGAGTAGATAATTTTGATTTGCGAATTAGCCCAGCTGTTTGCTTGCTTTTTATCGTAAGGAGCTGATGATAGAAGGAATCTATTTTTGAATATAATTTTACAGCGTATTTCTAATTTCTAATGTTAGAGTCAAAAGAAAGTTGAAGTAAAATTTCTGTCGATCGAATATTTCCTTCATAAAATTCAATTTCCTAATAAGTTTTCACCAATGCTAAAAGTTGAATGTTGTTTATTCCAAAATCTACCGTTGTAACTATGTTTCACTTTTACAAGAAGGTCCTAGCAGTCTAGATAGATGAGTTATGAAATGATATTTACGAGACAATTTCTTGCCGTTACTAGCAATCCAAGATTTCTAGTATCATCCAGCTAGTTCTGCAGATCTCTTCTAGTTGTTCGAGTAAAAGTTTCGCTAGTCCATGCTTACCCTTTACCATTATTTCCATAATCTTGTATTACCGTCGAGATTAGCATTCCCATCATCGATCTTCATTGTCTAGGAAAGTAATTGATGGCTATTTTTTTATGTTTCCTAATGCTGTTCAAGTTTGTCTTTACAGTTCAGACCTTGCTAATTCAAAAATGATAATTAAAGTTATTTTTCAATTCTATCTTGTGGTATAATTCCAAATTTTTCCATTCAATTCCCGCTCATCTTGATGTCTAATTAACACATTCTTCTCATCCAGTTATCTATTAATTAATATTTCAAAAAGGACCCTTGATTCAAGATATGGTCGGTTTTACCTTCAACACATATTGTGCTAATTGTTGAATTTTCCAATTTAATCAAGTCTTAACCTACATTAGGATATTAAGGTTCTTCCAAATCAGTTCTTAATAAAAATTTCAATTAGCATCGTAAAAAATGAAATTTCCCATAGGAACCAAATCCTAACCTGTACTAGAATAATTCAGTATAAAAAAAATGATTGATACCACTAGCATACTCCAACCAATTCAACCCGTTGTTAAGGTAGCTGTTGTTTCGAATGTAAAGGATTGCTTTGAATATTTATTCCGTGGCGCTATCATAGTTGGATGGATACGAACCCGACGATGCGACTTGATCAGCTTACAATGATGGCAAAAATAACCACGTTGAATATCAGCGATCAAACGGAAATAGCTCTCCTTAAAGGTATGGTGCGATAAACCGAATATAAATGGATTAATAGCAACATTAGTATACATTGCCCAAAGTGAAAATAAACGGCATATAAGTGGACTACCGACATAACGATGCTGTAAGGCTGTAGCTAACGAAATATATACAGATGGGATACTAAAAATAAGAAATGTACCAATAACAACTGTGACTGTTTTAGTCGATTTTTGTAGCCGATGGTGTCGACGTCGAGCTATAGATGAATCCATAATTTGATGATAGGCTTTACGTGCACGTAGCAGTAAACAGATATAATTAATCACTACATAGAGTAAAATGGCAAGCAAAGCGAAGAAAGTCCCCAAAACGTAGATGCCATTTTCATAAAAATTACTTAAATCTAGCCAACAAGAGGAAAAATAACCAACATATTGGTATTTTCCTAACGCATAAGCCTGTAAACCAAATAATGGAATTGCACTAATTAAAGCAAGTATGATCCACGATGTGGAGATTATAATAATTGCACGACGACTTGTTACTAAAGTGGAGTAAGTAAATGGTTTAAAGACAGCAATACTCCGATCAAAGGTAATATAAGCAATAGTGCAATAGACCATCCCAAAAGATAACGATGTCACATATCCAATACCTTGGCAAAGATTATCTTGGAATGGATTAGTTTGATTAGATATTGATGATATTGTTGATGGCCATAAACCATAAATTAATGACGATGGCATGACACAAAAACCAATAAGCAAATCAGCAAAAGCTAAATTAGCTAGTAAAATACCTGGTGGCTCATGCAATGCTCGACTTCGATAAATAATGGCTAACGCTACTGAATTACCAATAACAGCAACAATCATCAAGAGAGAGACGACGATAGGTGTTAAAATAGAGAGGTATATTTCTGTTGAACTTGTTGTAAAATTGAGCGATGAATTGATCGATTCTACTGTTTGATTGAAGAATTCCATCATTAAGCTACCGTATAATTGCTAAATCATTGAGCAGTATTAGTCTATAGAATAAAATTATGCAAGCTTGGCTGACAATCCAAAAGGACAACAATTTGAACTTTTACTTCTATTTTCAAATTTGATGATGAAACTAATATTCAATTCGAGTTTGACAGGGCTTCTTTTACGATTGGTAGACGGTGCCGATGAAATTTAAATATGAACTTAGATGTCCAATTTCAAAAGCTTTTGATGTACTCATCAATTTTAAAGTAGGCAACTACAGACTAATACCAAAAATTCATTGTATTTAACTCTTTTCAATCCATTATTCGCTTTTTTGCCTTCAATTTTATTGAATACTCAAGGACATAGACCAATATGATTGTCCTAAATATAATTATTACCTGGTCTATAAGTTACTTAAATCTAAACAGTTACAGTACAACCAGTCCATTGCAACTACCTATTACGTTGACTGCTGGATATATATTCAATCAATCATTCTTTGTATTCTTTACATCCTATTTCCTAGTTGAATACCAAAGAAGAGAACTTCACTATTTTATAGTAGGAGTATCCGTGGTAAGACTTAAACTTCCTAATGAGAGTATTGTTAGCAACAAAAGCCTATAGCGACATGGCTCCATTTTAAATTCCGCATTAAGCTATGACGTTTGATAATTGACTTTTTGACATCATTTCATCAATACTGGATTAATAAATAAATATCCTAAAGAATGAATATAGAGTCTGAATTTAAAATTTTCCCTACGGCCATGACCTCAGCTAGTTAGATCATCCTATCGGTTAGTTATTATTGTAATGAAAGGTACCTATTCGTAAACGATGAAAAAAACGCTGAGTCAATAATTTAAAAATAAAATCTATGCAACCATCAATTTTATCCTACAAGGCGATTATAATTTATTCATTATAGTAGTCTAGCATCGATTTTGATTATTTCAGTCCTCTTTATGCCATATAAATGAACACGATTTCTTTATTATAGGATAATAGTAAACGAGATACTGTTGATGGTTTTTTGTGGGCTACGAGCAATTAGATACTAGATCAATAAGGAATCGACTAATTTCTTAAAAAGTAAACTTCTGCTACAGAATGAGCTTGAATAAAAAAAAAGTGGAATAATAAAACTTGCATAAGAATGGAATGAATATGAGAATATAATGTTGTAAATCTTAGTAGATTTGATAATAGGAAATTATATTAATCTCTTTAATTATTATAAGGGTAAATCAGGTATCTGTAAAATGAGGTAACACCAACAAAAAGAGTCAGTTAAAAGATTTTCTAAAATGTTATTATGAGGTAACATATCAATGAAGGTACATCATTAAGTCGAATATTATTATATTCGTGGGAAAGTTGCAATCTAGGATTAAGCTGATTACTAATGCGCCTGCAACATTGTAACTTCTTTATAGAATGGATTATAAATAAATAAATAATAACAATTTCAGTTGTCAAACTTTACATTTTATATCCTTATTGAATTATTAATATCACTAATTGTTGCATGTCATTAGTGTAACTGTAAAAGTTACAAATGGCGTAGACAATACAGTATGTGTGTACATTTAAATGGCGCATAAAATAAATTATTTACTCTACTCTATTATAGTCTACGATGGATAATAGCTCGTCATATTGAATAAAAATTTGTTAGGATCATTCTCGTCGCTATCCTAACATTAAATAGCTTAGATCAGCGATCAGAGAAATTTGTAGCTTATATTTGCAGCTATCTTTATTAACTAAAGCTATTGAAGTAAAATTAATCACTATACCAGTGACCTTCAAAGTTCAAATTTTGTTTATTCAATAATATTGAAATAAAGCTGACAGTAGACATTCTATCAACGATTGAAGCTATCCTTAAAAATATTATGACATGTTCCTAATGCTTAATTCTTAGACTCTATTGCAATATTTGAAAATGACAAAATTTAGTAATCAATATCAAACGATCAGAATTGGACTCTTAAAACCTTTAATTGACGAACTGTACACAGATCTACTCTTATATGTGGTTACCAGTATAGATAGCAGATCGTGATTTATAGCACATGCAGTAATATAAATGTTAGCATTAAGCTAATCAATTTTATTTTTAATCTTAATCTTTTCTGCTAAAGTTTAGTTAAATTACGAGCTGCTTAAACGTTTTATTATATTAATATTTATATGCAATATGATATCCTACGATTTCAAAAGTTCTCAACTACTCAATAATACATGAATTAAATTATTATTAGATGGTAGAAGCAAAGTTCATCGCCATTAATCTATGCAATATAGTAAATCATTAACACCTATAGAAGATGTCTCTAGACTAATAAGATGATAAAATTACAAGATAAAAGTAGCAAAGTTAAAAAAATTGAGTATTGCAGTAATTATGTTGTTTCAAATAAAGTTCTTTACTGTTAAACAGACGACTTCATGACCAAGTTATATTATGGGCTCAATAGCATTTTTTAATATTAATTTAGCTGAGCTACGCCTGCTATATTTAATATCTAATACTAGTACGATAGAACAGTATTTAATTTTAATATTCACAAATTTGATACCGTGAAATTCTATATAATTATAACCATTCAGGTACTGCTTAATCAAATACGCCTATACTAGCACGAAAGTTATAGCTTTGGGAATGTAGTCATAAATGATATGATTGATGACAAATGTTAATCAAGTTTTATTCTAGAAATTTACTTTTACATGTTAAATGATTAACAAAATCATATTTCCCGTTACTTATGGAAATTTCTTATAGTTCTTCAATGATTAAATATTTTATCTCTGTGTAGAAATAGGACATTACAGCCTTCTGCTTGAATAGATATCATTAATTATTAATGATGAGTAAATCTTATGCCTGGATTTAAACACTGGACCATCTAATTTGATAGACATTACTTCCTGCATGTCTGCAGATATTTGTCTACTTCTTCGTAGACGATGTGACTGATTACCATCTGTAATCGATATGTAATGCTTTTCGAATATTTCAAATCAAATATGAATAATGAATCTGTCGTTACTAGAGATATCAATCAGCTTATTTTGAAAGTCGTTTATTATTCCCTTAGACACTATTTATCTGCTAACTGCTGCTTATCATTGTTTGTAATAATAAGAATTAACGTTGATTTTTGTACAATGAAAATTCTACATCGGTATATTATAATATTGAAGATTGTAAAATTGCTCTTTTCATAATTTAAATTAATGTTAGAAATCTCATCCATGTTTATTAAACTTTGCTCGAAATTGAAAATATTGAAATGCATGCACAAATAAGGAAGAGAAATCAGCTGTAAGTCTTACTGTTGAATAATGTTTTTTAAATAAAGATTGATCTACCTTGAAGAATTATGTAGTCAATGTAATCTTTGTGTACAAATGAGACTCAAATAATGGAAAAACCAGTAAATTTTCCTGCAACAATCATCCCTATCTACCTGCAAACCGAAGATTTCTTGCCTCAATGAGGACTGTCATAGCGTTTTATTTCCTCGCTTAAAAAAATTAAATAACTAAAGCAGTCACAATATGCGGTAGAAATTTACGGTATTTGCTCTTTGTATAATACTGGATGGTTTATTAACGTTATGACGTTTGTAATACCAGCTGGCCAATTCATTATTGCACTTCTGCTTTCCTAAAAGAAAACAAGCCGTACTATCCTATGGAATAGCATAATTTTTCTGGCGATTTTTATAATTTTGCAGATTAGGTACGATTTATCGACTAACTGAAAACTTAAGGAAATGGGTAAGATAAACAAAGTCTTTATCTAGAAACCTTTGAAACATTAGAGGTGACACTAATAGACATATAATCATTTATTACAAATCTCTGTGGGCATTTAAATATTACTAGATATTACACAAAGCAATCACCCTGTACACGAGTTTAATATAAAGAAATTGTAAATAAAGTTAGTTTTTATTATGTATATAGTTAACTGATTTAGTTCCGCAATACGATATCAGCTGCTACCAGCAATACAGTAAACGAAATTAAGTAGATATATATCATATAACTAAATAGGAGACGGATAGATAGCATCCTTTACAAAAGTATAACATAAAGAAATCATAAACAAAAATTAAGATTTTGTTATCTATATTATTAACTTGCTTACATTTGCTACATTTTAACAGTAGTATTTTAATTTTAGTATCGTTATCTGTAATTGCTTTGGTCTCTCTAAAATATCATTTACATAAATGCGTTTCGGTATTGACGTTATAATTTCTATAGAAAATACGGAAAGGATAAACATGTGAAGTACATCTTAAGCAACATTATCGAAAGCTAACCGTCGAAAACTTTTACTCTTGTAAATAAATTCTATGTATGCAATTGATTTCCTCCTATAGAGTTAAAAACTACTTTATTAATTAATCTTCCAATGAGGTAAGGTAGAGTATCGTCTGGTATGTTATAAAATAGGAGACCGAATAAGCATTTATTGTCGCTTCCTATACACTCTTACTACGGCTTGAAAGTATAAATCTGCCTCTTAGAAGTTATAAACTTTTAGTATAAGAGTTGATTCAATTTCTATGAACAATCAGCAATTGTAGTCTATTAGTAAGGTGAATAACATAATCTAAACTCAAAAATTATCGGAGATGTAAGTATTACAGAGCTAGTTTCGTAGTAGTGCAGTAACTGCATGATAATATGCATATAAATATCTAAATTACTCTTATTAATTGATAGCGTATCAAATTTATTTGAAGACGGACTGTTGTGAAACGGTATATTTGCAAAGGTCTGGTCCTGAAATTCCCGTTGGTGATTATAATTAATAGTTAGGTTGCTTAATTAGAGTGATACAAATATCAGCTTAGAAGATCAAAGTGTCTCCTTATTGTATAGAATCATTTTCTGGTGCTTTATAGCTATTTGCAACAATGAACTTATTTATATCATCTTTTGCAACCACAAATTGTACCTCAAAGTAGGTAATGTTCGTGAATATTTAAATAAGTATATGCAACTACTTATATGTGTTAAGATATAGCAATTAAAGTTATACATTTGCAATCAGCAGCCAAATAGAATCTAAAGTTAACCGAAATTGCTAATTAAAAATAAGCTCGTTTGTCCAATTTTAGGATTAAACTAATGCAAGGGTAAATCAATGGTAGTTTATTAGCATGTTTCAAAAGTAATAGGAATCAAATTGAAAAAATTTCCTTAAATAAGATATTTCGTAACATTAGATATTTTTAATATCAAATGAGTAATATCGCATTATTCCTTACTACAACGACATGGTATATCGCTATAACTTGCATTCACTGTACAACAGACATGGTTTCAAATATTAAATACATTAATAAATGTTTTTATGCAATCGGTAAGAAATAATAACATTGAGATGAATATTTTATCGTCTAAGGCGTGATTTTATATAAGGATCAGCTGATTGTAGTAAAATGTAAATAAATTGATCTTATTGATGTTATAGACACTAAGAAGAAATTGATTCTGAAAAGTTTTTGACCTCCATTATTTACATTTATATTTAATCAAATCTCGAGACCTTTGATATAGCACGAATCCTGTGTTGTTGCATGATAATACATTGCATGTAACGAAAGTTTATAACAGTAGTAAATTTCTTTAACATTGAGGCAGTAGATCATATTATAATAAATTAATTGTTGTTCACGATATTCAACCAGCAAACAGTTCTATAAGTCAAATGACTGCAAGATCGCATAAAAAAATACAAGATATCATCTTTTTCGGCAATAGAAAAAATTTGATTGATGATAATACTCTCTGACTAGTACGGTATTTTCTCGTTGATAAAAAATCAAATAAAAAACTGCAAATTTATGAAATTTGAAATATAATCACATTTTCTATAAACCTGCATGCATTATGTAATGCAATAGCTAACTAATCAAATTTTATCACATTACGCATTACCAACGTCATCATTATTAAAAAAATGAGATTGGAAATAGTAGCTTATCTTTCAGTATAAGACTTTATACAATAGCTAAGAGTTTTAAATTGACATTTCTGGATTTTGCAGTCGAAATACGGATTAGTACAACCAAAAATTGTATTATCATTCACGGAAAAGTATAATTTTCAAAATGTGATGCTAAAGACAGAGTTGACAATAATCTCAGAGAATCTACGTGCTGATTTAAAGTTGCACCGTACTCTTTTAGGGCTGCAATTTCATTATTAAGTTTTCGCTGCATCGCCTAAATGTAGTAATTACATAGATTAAAGTTATGAAAAAATACAACCGAAATTTAACCGCTTTCGAAGTAGTCTTTTAAAAATAAAGTGCGCGGTATAAACTCTACCTTTAGATTTTCTGCCTGTTCTTGTAATTGAATATTTACACGCTGGTTCGTTGGCAATGATTTCTTCAAATATTTAATCTCGCTTTCTCGCACTGTTAAGTATAAGAAATTGCTAATCATATTGCATGTTAAGTATTACTAGAAGTCTTGGATCTAATCATGTAGGTTCCTTACATTGATTCTGGTAATAAAAATCAGCTAGTAAGCCATCAATTGACAGAGTCAAGGTACTAATTGGTTTAAATTCATCGTTATCTACAGCTTTCTGATACTTGTGCGTCGTGGTATTGTCGTAGTTGCTATTATTATTATTTTGGGAATTGCTTGCGTCTGTTAAGTGATTAACAAGACACCATATTATTACCCCACTGGCAGTATAACGTTTTAGCGCATAACATGTCAAATACTGCAATACCAGTGTATCAATTATACGTTACAATCTGATGAACTTACTTGTTACATTTTGTAAATGTTGCCTTCCGAACATATGCTCGCGCTTGTTGTGTAACGAACTAAAGTATTGATTACATACTCGACAGAATAGTTCGTCACTTTCGTCATCCTATAGTGGTGCGTGGTACGACCCAAAAACGTTATTATTGCGATACTATTTACCGGTTGCAAGATATTGGCTTTACGAAATTATAACGGATTGTAAATTTACCTCAAAGTCGTTAGCGATATAGGCGCTATTCATTCCAGTCCCTATCGAGTTTACATTAATACTTTGCATGTGTTGAATAAGGATTTTACTTCTGTTGCCTATATATAAACTAACCTGTAAATAATTTACTCTTTTTTGAAGATTCTCTACTTGCTTCTGATCGGTAACCATCACTACACTGATAAGCTTTCAGTTCTTCAACATATCGTCTCTTGTCTGCTTCCGCTTCATCCAGAAATTTCTAAAACCAAAAAAATGGAAAAGAATTTTTAGTAATTCAAAAATTAAGTAGCTAGTACGTGTTGAGATTAATCAAAGTGTGAAGAAACGTGTAAGTAATTCTATGATTTAGTTTTCGATAACTTTTTTTCTGTACGTATATGGTAAGAAATCTAAACGTGCCTGCTTAGCACTTAATTTCATCTTGCTCCATTCGTTTCCTAAAAATTTAGTTATCTCTGGAAAGGAAAGGTTAGGATGTTCTGATTTGACTTGTTCCCTCCGAGAATTTAAGAAACGCACGTAGCTAAGTTTGAGAGAAAGAAATTTTATGTCATGTTTTAATGACGTTATATTAAATCTTAAAATCAGCCTCTAGTAACTCTAATAGAGCTTTCAAAGCAGATATCTTCATAATAGGGATTAATTTGAAGTCATTTTAAAGTTCATAAACCCTGTCATTGGCGCTTTCGGTACTCCGCTTTTACGTTCGGCTCGCTTTCTTTTTTTGCCCTTTGGCCAGCCTCCTCTGCGTTTGGGGCCCTATTGCAAAATTTAAGGTAGTGAGATAAAATAAAAGCTGACAGTTAAATATGTAAATTAGTTTGCTAGTCTTTGTAGAGAACTACAGTTTCAGGACTATAAAGTATTTATATCCATGATAGAACACGTATAATAGCGTTACCAATAACTCTTCAAATTAATACATGTTGCTTTCTGTATAATTATTTCCAATCACTATCTAATTTAGCTGCCATTTAGGTATAGCACACTTTAATATTTTGACCATATGGCTTCATAACATCAATTTTATGTTTAAACTTTATCATCTATTTATATTGTTGTATAATCAGCAGCATTTCTTATACCGTAATTAATGGGATTATCTTAACCAGAAATGCATTTAAATGGTATTCACTCATTTAAGGTCGTATTTTGCAGTCCATACAATTGAATTATACTTCTACTGTGTGAAATCATATAATTGCGCGGCAATTGTACTGCTGGTAGTGGTCACGAACTGCATACCCCTTTTTCTTCGATTAATATGTATCGATTTTAAAGCGAACATCAAAAAGCGCTTGAATTCTCTGTGATATAATTGAGATTGAATTTGTAGTAATCTTATAATGTAAAGGTATCAAGCATATCGTTGCATATAGTGACATTCAAATTGATTCTATAAAAATTCATCTTGAGTATTGAAAAGAGCAAATGTAGAGTAAGACTACCGGTATAACTAACTCTTACCATAAACTATGTTCATCATGCTACATAGATTTACTAATTATCTATTTACTGCAGTTACTTACTGTATTCGCCATAATTGACCCAGTATTATTATTATCCATGTTGGCAACAGTTGCATCAGCGATATTTTGATCTACAGGTACATCGAATATCGACGATAAGCCACTACTATCTTGCTGCGAGAAGGCGCCAGACGTATCTGCAGAAACATGTGGATTGTAATCAACTTGAATACCCATACTTGTGCTAAATAGAATAAATACAGCATTGACGTTAGATATCCATTTACAAATATTTCATATAACTCGATAAGTTGTACTACTATGCTCTTTAGGATAAGTTATTAACTAGACTTGTATAACGAGTGATGCGTATTACTGTCAGTTTATTCAGTTTTGCCAACAGCTTCTATCTTTGTAGCAATTTTATAAACTACTAAATACCTTTACGGCTTCTACTAATTTTAAAATAAACCCCTCCCTTTGCATCATTTGAAAGTCTACAAACACAACCTTGTAATACCTATGCATGCTACGGTAATTTTCTGAAATAACTTGATATCAATAATAATGATATATACGTTGTATAATTAATAAAAACGAATTAGCATAGAATTTATACTAATTCGCATTTACTGTAGCGTTAATGTCAGATTCTGTTTTATTATAGCTAATACTCTATCAAGTTGATTTAAAATCATCCGTTACCGTCTAGCAGATGGAGAAATCGACATATTTTCGAATTCTCTGACTGTAGTACATACCGTAGGACTATTTACATCAAGCAGTGAATTGAATCAAAAGATCTTTCGTATGAACGATGATGTTTAATGTCATATATAAAGTTGATCCTGACTGGATTGTGTTTATGTGGCACTAAATTATGCCTTGGTAAGGTAGATACTGTATCATTTCTTGAGTAGTTGTGTAGTTGTGATATTTGCTAGGGGATATGGTGTAATAACAGTCCAATAATAGAAAAATGATTTTGAATGTTCTCATTATATATGATTCCAGTAGGATCAGTACTGGTAAGCTAATGGAAGGAATTAAGTCTAGACATACGTTAGAAACTTCATGATACCCACTACGATAAACTGATCGGTTACCTGGTGTACGTACTGTACGTAAAGATAAAGACTTCTAAAATACATTCGTTTCAAGTACGCTATCCTCAAAATTCCTATATTGTAAGTATCATCGTGGAATAGACCTGCACTGCAGTGGGCAATGCCTTTAGTATTGAGCAATATGACAATAAGTAAACTGAAGCAACTTATCTTCTACTTTCAATGTAAGGTGTGAGTAGTACTCTTGCGATTAGCAAAGGAAGAGCCAATTTCTAGTATGGTAAAACGCGTAGTCAAGATTTAAATCAAAACGTTTTGCTATCAGCAACTCCATATTACACAATCTATTTTTGATCGTAACTACAGTAATGCTATGCCTAATCGTTAAGAAGTATCTTGGAATGTTGGATAGCTTAAGACCCTTGTTATTGTACGTACATTACTACAAGCCGTGACCATTTCATTTCTATCTGTGTACCGTATACCTCTATGTTGACTAGTAATGTAGGATGGCATCAACTTGTAGTAATTTTGCACTATCCTCCACATTGATAAACACATAAGACACCATGAAGTAGGATATGTATCTAGAAATACAGTAGATTCATGAATTTGTATTGTGAGCATTACGATTTGGCAAGCATTGTATCACGTCTTGCTGGATTTCTGTTACAGTAATTGTTCATCATTGGTCGGTTGACGAGTAGAACATCCATCATGAACAAGGGCGATTACTGCTTACGAATTGCAAATCTCCTCTTATTGTAAGTAGATACTCTCTTGACATTGTACTTGTGTATGGGTATAATGTTGATGTGAATCAATTTTACTTGTCGTTGGAAGATTGGATCCAATAAGTAGAATTGACGGTATACAATTTGAATTTGAATGATTGATAATTGTACTGTGATTCATTGCGTTATTCATTAAACTGGCAAGTTGATATTAACTAGAATGTGTTGCATCTGCTGTACATGGATCGACCAAGTGAATGGTGAAATTTATAAGCCTATACTATCCAAGAGTAGATGATCATTTCCAATTGGTAATGATATTAGGAGAGAAGTGCATCATCTTACCTATCTCCTCGATCATCAGTCACCACATCGGAGAAAACGCTGCCATTATCACTGGACGGACTATCGAATTTAACTGAATGATACGCTGTCTTGATATCGCGAATACTTGCCGCATCATTGGAGTAAGACGTTAACGGAAATGCCGTCATGGTTGTGACATTATTATTGCTTGAAGTCGATGCAAGTACATCCATCTTACTCATCAATCAATCAATTGCAATGAGTTTTCCAATCCAGCTGCAAGTAGAATGCAGCAGCGTTCTTGATCAATTAATTATCCGCTAGCTTGTCGGGATGACCAAGGTGCTAACTGGACTGTTGAGTCGGTAAGTTGTCCCATTAACTCACTATTGCCTCCTCTACTCCGGAGCGTGTCCTAGTACAGTACAATACTGGGAGATACAGTATCGCCGGTGTACAGTACAGTACAGCACTGTACAGTGTACAGTACAGTACAGTACAGCACTGTACAGTGTACAGTGTACACTGTACACTGTAGTCTGGGTTACAGTGTACAGTACAATGCAATCAAGACTGTGGGAAAGTACTGTAAGCGTCACAGTACAGTGTACTGTACTGCAACGTACTGTACTGTACAGTACTATACACTGTATCTACTGTACTGTATAGTACTGTACAGTGTACTGTACAGTGTACAGTACAGTGTACAGGAGCTGTCAATTCTGAGCAAAATCAATCAATACACGAGAGACAGTACTGTACACTGTACTGTACTGAGTACAGTATCACCGGTGTACAGTCAATACTGTCGGGAGGTACTGTAAACGGTACATACTGTACTGTACTGTATTCTCAGCAAAATCAATCAACGTACTGTACACTACAGTACTGTACTGTAGATCATGGTTCGTTTCGTTGTTGTGGCAAAAAATTGCTTCTTACAAGGATCCAATTACGTTACGGTTTTGAGCCTATTCTCTAAAATCAATCAAGAAATAATAATGAGTTTATTTCTTGATTTATTCTTCAAGCTTGAAGCCGATTCACTGCAGTATTGTACACTACTGTACAGTGCACAGTACTGCTTAAAATGCGATTATTTGTTCGGGTATTAGGTTCAGAAGAGACAAGAGAATGGACCGAATCAACCACTTCCAACGTTATTTTTTTACCACATCAAATTGGATACCTGATGAATCATGCAGTACTTGTAGGACTGACAGCAGTAGTACTGTACTGTACTGTATAGGTGAATCATTCTGCTATAGAGATACTGTAGAGTATGCACAGACTTCAGAAAATTTGGATCTACTGTACAGTTATAATAGACTTTGGGCAAGGTCACGGACCACTAAAATGAAAATCGACTAAAAAGACTTGCTTTTACCTGATGAATCATGCAGAAGTATACAGTAGGTGAATCATTCTGATATACTGTACACTGTACAGACTTCAGAAAGTTTGCATCTACTGTACAGTAGTGTACAATAGACTGTATAATAGACTATGGGCAAGGCCATGGACTGATGGACCACTAAAATGAAAATCTGCTAAAAGACTTTCTTTTAGTTTTAGTGCTCTGTGGTAGTCAGTACTGTACTGTACAGTACTGTACTGTACAATACAGGTACAGTATATTGTACTGTACACTGTACTACACAGTGCACACGAACGTGAAAAATCAAGCGCAAAGTTGTACTGCTACTCTGCAACAGCCTGCTCCAACATGACATGACATGGACCTCGTAAAACTTGAATGAATCTGATCAAAACGATTGAAATAATACCATTTAGGTTAAAGCTACTCCTCTCATTCTGTAACGTATCCCTTACGCAGAAATTATACATCAGCAGCCAGCAAATCAATCGATCACTACTTGAAGTGTGTTCTGAAGAGCAATGAAAGTATGGCGCATTTACACCTCATTCTTGCAGAAATATCCAGTCTGGGGCCAAATTGTCACTACAGGTACATCAATGCAATCGATCCATTTTTACCATGCATCAATAACTCAATAGTATAGATGGCTGCATAGTGTTTAGCTAATCTACTATGCTAACGTCATAAGGATGCTTGTAATAGGTGAAGGAAAATGTAAACACCAAGTAACAGTTCGTAGCTGGTCGTAGCCGGCATCGTATAGTGCAATTCGCTGATACAGTACTTGCTGTCAACAATTCATTTTCTTCCTTGATAGTTATTGCAAATTAATCAATAACCAGCTTGCATACTCTGTAGTTATGTTTCAAATCTGACTTGCTGCCATTTCCAAAACGGATTTTAGGAACATTGAATGGAATGGGTGATGTCATAGCGCAGCAGGTTGTAGAACGACGTGGTTCTGACCATAATATTATGAGAACACTTCGAATGACAACGATTGGATTCTGCCTCACGGTATTTTGATAATGACAATACAACTCTTTCACTTAAATGATGCTAGGCATGGAAGGAATACTATAAATTTTGATTGTACTCCGTAGTCAATACTTAGAACTTATTAGATTGCAATCAATACTTCTATTTCGAAGAAGACAATCCTAGTATTTTATATGTATTTGAGTATTCAACCATTCCTGCAAAGATAGCCATTTGTGCTAAAATAATGAAATCAAATTTTGACCCTCTTGATAAATTTAGGGACCAGCCTTGGTAGTATGGTATCGATTTCTAGATAGGATTATAAAGCCACCTCTCAAGCATAGTAAGATTTAAAATTGATGATGATGCTTTTTTGTACTTTTGTTCTTAATGACACGGTGTGATTGCTGTAATTGACTATGCCTTGCCTAGAGTATTGAAAGCACGAGTGTACACTGTGTTGGTGAAAGTACAATTCTAACCTTGTTGCATGATCTCCACTAGAGGCAGTTCATGTTTTTCTTGTAATTTTAATGACTATAGCTCTGCCAAACAACTCTATATGCCAATAGCCAAATGATGTTATTTTATTGAATTTGCATTTATTTTTCTGTTGCAGTTCCTTTGCGCAAACTCCTATGTGATCAGGTACTCTTAAAATTAAATTAGGCTATCTTTATCTGTCGATCTAGAGACTGAGAAGAAGTCTGTATTTTATATTTTTGAATGAATAAGAGCTATTGTAATCTACTTTTGCATGATGTATATCCAATAATCTACGTACGGTTAAATGTACATTAATCAAGCTTTTTTATTTATTATACGACAAGACCGTATTTTCTCCGTGTATTTTAGCGACAATTTTTACTACAGCATCGTTACTGGAAGGCAAAAACTTTGCACTGATCCAAAGAAAATTTCAGCGAGTACATATCGTGCCAATTTTAATTTAACTTGGAGCTGATATTGTTTTGTATTATTTTAAAATGTACCTTTACGTTACTCTTGAATGGATAATGTACATTTTACTTAAGTACAGTAATTCGCTTATGGTTAATATACTGCATTCAATAACCGAATAACATAAAAATTAGAGCTATTATTTTCAAATAACGCTTCAATTTTCTTATTTACAATTTCTAAATTGTAATAGGATTACCTGTCAGCGTTAGGCAATAGTTACAAGGTAACAGAAATAAAAGTCCCTTTGTTGTTAATTGTTTAATGATATAAATGATTATATCCATTTAGTTTTGGCCGGCAGCACAAATTATTACCTTTTATTTTATGCCTACTCAATTTAGGTAATCCTTAATTATATATATCAAATAGAAATTCGTTTGTAGTCTGGGATAAGGATACATGCTGCGGTATAATTTTCTATTTCTGATTGGATACTGTCTCATTTTATTGATAGAGTTCCATACGTTGGCGTAGCTAGTTTATTTTGGAACACATATTTAGCCTGGATAACCAACAAATCTATAAACCATGGGTAGCTGGAAGCCTTGTTGTTTAGCATGTGAAAAGATTGCCTAAATTGCCATTCGCATTCCAATCTAGTAAAAGCCATCATTTGTGGATATTAAAATATTTAGTTACTGCAACGAACTTATTAACAACATACCATAAATAATATTAACATAAATAGATGCTTAATATTAAATATTTATACAAGTGTTATATTCGTTATTAAGGTAAGTATCCGATTTCATATTGCCTAGTTGAAGTTTGCTGTCAAGAACAATCATGAGTCTTAACAGTTATTTAGTACAGAGTAATCTTAATTATGTGGATGAAATATTCAACTTAACTGGAGTTAGAGTGTATTTTATTTAGGCCATTCAGTCATATGTATGTGTATAAAACTTTTTATATGATCCAAGTTAATCATTATCGGCTAGTTTAAAGTTAGTATTGAATTCATTTAAGCAGCACTTTATATCTATTTATTTCATGTATTTATTATCATTTAATTTGTCTTTATGTTATGTATATTAATTAATTAATAAATGGTGTCATTGTCATGCCGTCGAGACGTCCCATCTGTCTGTCATGAGTTCATCATACTAACCATGGACTACTACAAGACTGTATTCTAAAGTAGTAGTCTATAAAAACTTGATGGACAATTCCTCCAAGCGATACAGTACTGCACGTAAGTTCGAAACTTGACGTTGGTTGCCATTAGGGACTCCAATAGCAACAATTTTATCCCCCAAAGTCGCTCACATTTACTTTTAGGGTGAAATTGTTTCTGTAGGTGTCCAACTGTCCAGTGTCCATGGTTGCAATGCGCATGGAGGTTATTTACAGTGAATATTATGTTGCACGTGGGAAAACTTCTGTACGCTGGCTACAAAAGTACTGTACGGGGCGTAAATCGTGAAAGCGATTCAACGGCTTTCTCTATTGACATAAACTAGTGTTTTAGCACTATATTGAACGCAATACCGCTTCAGTCGCGTACTCATTGTAGTCGTCTATCATCGATGGTTCAGTATTGCGTTCTGTACAGTCCAGTACTGTACTCAACGCTACAAAGTACTGTAGATACGGGACTGTACGTACAAGCGCTCAGTACTGCACAATTTCAGCAGCAGGTTAACCTTGAGGCTGGAGGCCTAGAGCATCAGAAATCTCCTCCACAGTTTAAGAGAGAAAGCCTAATTATGGGGAAATCAAAGAAATCAGCCAAGGAAGACAAAGCTAAAACGAAAGATGATAGTACGATAAATACTGATATCAGCGATAGGCCTGAATACGAGGTTCTCGTTAGCCAGGTGAATGTCATTGCAAAGCCGTTGGCCGATAAAAAGTTAACGAAAAAACTTTACAAGACTGTCAAGAAAGGTAAAGGCATTTCTCTTCACTTTTCCAATCGGCTACAGTATCTTACGATAGATAGTGTTAGACTAAAATTAGAACAGATTGGAGATCAATATTCAATTTTGTGCCTATACACTCGTATAGGGGTATTTTACTCCTTATAATAAAATATCTTGGATCCATTACTCTGCCCGTGCTCTTGTATCAACGTGAATTATAGAGTGCATGATTGGACATGTCCTGTCATATAGTGGCTGTTTCGATAGTATGTTAATTGCGACAAATTCTAAGCTATAAAGTCATTTCTGTACCATCCTTAGTCACTGATATCATGTGTCGTTTGTTAAAGCTGGCGTAAACCTGCATACTTTTTGCAATGTATTCACGGTGCAATTTACTTTAATTTAGGTGCTAAGACTAAACATCTCAGACGTGGAGTGAAAGAGGTGGTTAAAGCTCTAAGGAAAGAGGAAAAAGGCTTTGTTGTTATAGCTGGAGATATATCCCCTATCGATGTGATCGCTCATGTTCCGATTTTATGTGAAGAGAAAGGTTTACCTTATGTATACATACCCGCCAAGATAGTAAGTTGTTCTCTTGTGTTGCTACGTTGGTGACCTGAATGATACTCCTTTGTAGTAATAAACAGGATGCGTTGTGTTAATAGCAAATTATATGGATAGTGACTGAGAGCTGCTTGTTCCTCTCTTGATAGGATTTGGGCTTATCCAGCATGACTAAACGCCCAACTAGCGTGGTATTGGTGAAGCCTAATCAAGATTACCAGGAAAATTATGATGAATGTCGGAATAGTATTTTAAGTTTACCAACAACAGTATGATTTAGATACACGATATAAGGAGTTTTATTATTTAGGTAATGTTGTGGAACATAGTTGTCACCTTGCTGCGGATTCCAGTACAGCTATGTCGATTCAATTTGTATCCCCATTTTGTAAATGTATGGAATAATCATTGTAAAAAGTATATCACGTAATTGCTCCACTCATGTATAAACAGATTATCTGTTATATAATATATAATTTTAACATGCAAAAAAGTAAATGTAATGAAGACGTTGGATGACTTTTGCAGTCAACATTTATAAATGGTTATGATTATTTTAAATCTCCGTGATGGTTTAACACAAGACAATTGATAATATGGGCAGCATTCCAATTCTGTCTACGACTTCGAAAACGATCACTTTGAGAAGGTGTGCAACGCGAATAATGCCTATGTTGGATTGGTACCATCATTTTACTTGAGAATTGAAGATACATCCTTCAATAGCCTCGATTTTTATAGACTTGAAGTAAGCGATCGCCTCAACTAACTGCATAAATGATTTGCTGACTGTAATGACTCATTATGGCACTAAAATAAACCTATTAAGGTATTTCTATTTCGAAACATGCGCTTACTATTGAAAGGGTTCTCATGTAAAATGGTCAATATAGGAAAGTTTGATACAATAGTGTATAAGTTGACGCAACACTGTAAACTGTATCATTTCTATGAGTTTGGACAGCGCTTTGTTTTAATAGTACTGCACCACCGATTAATATTTGGAGCTGAATAGTCCCGAGATACGCGTATAGTCATTACCTCTTCTGAGATCGAATCGTTCGGTTTCTTTCGTATCTCCTTTTCAGGGATTCATATTTGTCATTACTGCATATGGATTGGATTAAGCTGTATTTAGATCTGTATAACGTTTTGGCTTATCAGTGAACAATCATCTCTTTAACACAATATGTGATGTCTGTGCTAGTGAATGATTGTTAAAATAGTTGTTGAAAAAGAATTGTAAATGAGTCTGAAAACCTTCAATACAGACTTCCAATTCGCATTCGTATTCTTAATCCGCTAGGGCAAAATGAAACAATCGCTAGTTGCAATTACGCTTGCCCATAACTTATTTCGCAAGCTATTTACAGTAATACAGTATTTAGTTGTAGGTCTAAAATTTTTGATTATTATGCTGTAGTGCAAATATCAATAGATGCTGGATGCGATATGGATTGGTAAGACAAGTTTAAAAGCAGCTTAGGTTTAGTACAGTTCGACACAGAGGAAGAAAATGCGCTATTCGCTCACCCGCACGATTAAGCACAACTACTTTGAGGTATATAAACTCCACAGATTACGATAAGTTAGTGAAAAATGTATCAATTTTATTGATGGCTATGATATACATCTCTACCCTACATATAAGGCTATTAAGGAATGCTGTCATTATCACTCTCTAGTTCATCCCAATCTGCATCAAATTCCAGATCACTATCCTCATCTTCACTGTCTTCAATATTCTCGTAGTTGAGCATGTATCTTGTTAGGCTGCCATCCGATTCAGTCCCTGTTTCACTTGCTGCATCAGACTCTTCACCATTCTCAGTATCACTGCTAACATCATTCTCATAATTGGCTTCAGGATCGTAGCTGTTATCATCACTATCATTCTCAGAATCAAATTCTTCCAAATCTTCCATTTCGGAATCGGCATGACTCATTTCAATTTCGTCATCTTCCTCATTAATCCTTGTCAAACAGCTGCCATCATACCTTGATTTAGAGGCTATCGAGTCAGCTGCAGTAGGAATTTCATCCTGGAACCCAGGCAATGACACTCGTAGCTGATTCGGATGGGAAAAACCATTGCTAAGAGACAGTTGCGAAGACATCTTGTCAATAAGCTGCTCAGACAAGTCCATAGGTGTGTCCGATGTGCAAGTATTAGATGCAAGATTCGTCATAAAAGAGCTATCTTCAAGCATCACTTTTGGAAATGAATGCCATTCATAGTATCCACTATCTACAGGATCGACAGATCAATTTGTTTCAGTATAATTATGATAAAAATATACAATATCTAATCTCTACAAGGTAATATAAAGGTTGCAGTATCGCTGTTACATCTTGTAACTAGAGTTGATCAAAAATGGTTTGAACAGGCCCTTAAAATAGGCCTCATATCTGAGCACGGTTTCTTGATTTTTATCGAAGCAACAACTACAGCAGACGAACCTTTCGGTAAGGGATTGGCCATGTTAGTTTAGTTTAGTTCTCTTGTGCGAGCCTAAGAACACTTAGTTTAACCCCCAAAATCCCTGGCGTATTTCGTATGGGATTACCAAAATTTGCAAAAGGTCTGCAAGCCACGTGGAATGATTGATTCCCGGGTGATTCAAGGAGAATTTATACCTCATTACGGAAGACTTGTTCAACTCTATAAAAAGAAGTCTACTAAATTTAGACGTGCAAATCTAGAGTATACACGGTAGCTCTTCCGTAATCCTACCCAAGCTACTATATACTGTAAAAGAAATTAAAAATCTTCTATATTTATCAGTAAGGTAACAGATATAATTTCTGCATTTACGTCGATGACCACATTACAAGCAAAATAGTAATCATATCGAATAATTTTTGGATGCATAATTCTTAATTAATGATATTTTTCTAGCGCTGGAAACCATAAAAATAGCCTGTCCCCGATGTGATAATCTTGTTTTAAAGCGTAAAACTGCTATATTGGAATGTGTAAGATATCATCAATATGACTTTGGAACTAATAAATTTCATAACCTATAGTAATAGTGCATCACATATATTGATACATATGAGTAGTATTATAAATTCTGCAAATTAGCCATGTATAGTATCCAGCACATATTTACTCTTTTGATAACGTACAGAGTATGGAGTAAGGGATACAGGATTTATATTAATAGTTAACTGTGCAGTTGGACATATTTTAGATTCATAACTGCATTGGTGTTAGCACTTTTGACTTATCGCATGATAGGAATATTAACAATTGTGATAAATCTAGGAGTGATAAGTTTAAAGTGTGAAAAAGGAAGCAGATATCACACCTCCTGCTTAACCTGGTCCAAGGTACAACTGTCGGTTATTCATTTCTTCTATTTCCCTAATTTGACAGAGTATGGTCTCCATATAGGATATATATGCATCTTGTATTAAAGGAAGCGGTTAAATTCTCTTGAGATTCGTTTTCGTATTTGCGTTACGATTTTTTGTTCTAAAATGCCATTCTAATTGAAGCATGAACATCTATATTCACCGACAATATTTTTAAGGTATAATAATGTATTGGTTAAGAAATGGTCTGGTAAGCACATTTTCAGACATACTATCGATATGCAAGTAAAGAGAAATTCAATAGCTAAGATATTATATTCACTAGACTAACCCGCCGCGTTGCTGATCGACCGTAACTCATAACAATATTTATATTGCTTCAGTAAGTACAGTATATGAGAGTTATGTAATTGTTGGTATTATGCCTTAATCATCCATTACTACAGATCTATAATGCAATCTTAATTAGTCGCCTAACCATGGGCATGTAATCGATACGTATTAAAACGTCCCCCCCCCAAAAAAAGGAAGGGAACGAATTTTCCAATCGCTATTTTAAGCTATTTTTACTTATCGATTGACGGCAAGAGCCTTTGAAAAACGGTATTAAAAGCTTTTATGTAAAGCTTTATCCAAGGCTATCCTTAAGATAATGTTAAAAGGAATCTTAATGTACTCTGACATTTAAAAAACTAGAAGGACTCTTTTAATGTGGCAGCTATTCGTTTGATTTGTGCGGTAGTTCACTTAGTAATAATGGTTGCATTTTCATCTACCAAAAAAATTAAGCGATACGTTATTACTCTTTCATGCCCATCGTATGCTGTTACTTATTGTACCCATGGTACAAATAAGGTGTAAATAAAATGGTAAATACGACCATGAAATGATAATTTCGATCATATACTACGTAACGAATTCTGCCATCGTTGTGTTATCCATATTTGTTATACTGTGGATAATAAGCAGTTCTCATACAGTAGTTGCGTACTGCCGTACTTGTAAGTTGCGGGTAGTAAGTCATGTAGCTCTACAATATTTTAAAATTCGAAGTTGTAAGTATCGAATGATGTAGCTCTATAGCATTTTAAAATTTTTACAGATGCCTGTAGAATCTGTAGATGTACCTGTGCGCTATCTGGTTGGCTTAAAATAACCCTTTGATTGAAAATAATCGGATCGCGATAATTTTCATTATTACTCTTATAAGAGAGAATTAGCCTTGTTATTCCTGTTCTGCCTTTCATCTCAATAGTTTTATCCCCAATACGAGTATATCAATTTTATAACGGTTAAGAGCAATACTTAGATTTTAGGCAGTGAATAAAGTTAATAACCAGTTACAATACCAAATTATTAATTCTATATAAATACAAAGTCTGAATTGCATTACGTCAGGGGCTTCTAAGAAAAATTCTGTTAAAGATACCATGATAAGCCCAGGTGTACAATGATTAGTAGTGAGATTTCTATTGCCACTGATTGTATCACTATTTTTAGGTGTATTAAAAGTGAGTTAAATTCTAAATTAAATTACATGCTTCTTATTAAGTAGTTATGACCTTATTACCGCTTGCCTTGAAAATTCATTAACAGCAAGGAAAATCTTTTATTCTCTCAACATGATTCTACTGCTGTATCCTTTCAAAGAAAGGATTTTCTGCAGTCACAATAAAGTAGTTCATATTTTACAAATAATAGAGATATATAATAAAAACGATTTTAGTTCTGGTTGTAGACTTTTAATTACGAAGCAGTGATTTGATAATTATTTATAAGCATGGAAAGGTAAGGGCACTGTTTGCTGTAGGTATTCGAGTACTTAATTATTTATGCAAGAGAAAATATATAGCTCATTTACGTCGAAATGCCTAAATACCAGCTTGATTAAATGGGCAGAATTTCCTTTGTAATTACCGTAAAATTAATTCAAAAATTTAATAATGATGTAATGAAATTTAACGTAAACAGCGCATTGATAGCTCTAACAAAGGTGCGCGATTATCCATCACTTCGTAGAAACTATTGAAGGGACAGATTTAGATTCATTTCCAGTCCGCGGTGCTTAATTGTCTTCTACCACAGATAAAGAAATTAGATTTATTAACATTGTCATCGTCATCATAATCATGGCAACGATATAATGTTATTAATCTATTTTATTTTACCTTAATTATTTACCAATGAGTATAGTAGTATCGACGAATTTATCATAAAAAATATAATCCCGTTTTAATTTTATGTCGACAGTAGAACAATGGGCTTAAAGTTTGGAATATGATTGCAATCATTGCCAAACTAAAGATATTAAAACGCTGTTGTATTATTCTTTTTACTATTTTCTGACTAGAAGATCGACTGGTTTATCGTTCTTTTAATCATATCATAAATCAAATACTCTTCCGGCTCTACTGATAAAAATTGATAGCAAAGCGGACGTACGTATTACTTGTTGTCATAAAAATAGAGTAAAGTAACTATAATCATCAAAGCTATCGAAATTGCGTTACGATAATTGATTGATAATTAATTTGACAGTACTATATAATGAGCATAAGTATTGGATGTAAATCAAATTAGTGAAGTGGCTGAAGTTGGAAGAAAAGTTTTTCAATTAACCAAAGTTTTTTCTTCGATCGTTGCAAATGATTACTCGTAGGATGGATTTACCTGCAATTTTCGATCAAATTGTAGATAATCAAAATTATGAAAGTAGCGGTTTGTTATTTCATCCAACTAGCTATACTACAGCTAAAAAAATTATGACTAAAGGAATTAACATCAATCATCCAGATAATCTATTCCATGATTTTAGTCCTGCAGGTAAGTCATGAATATGAAATACTTCACTATTGCTTTTGATTTTTGATCAATAAAAATATTCGATGATGTACTTAAATTGTTATTGCTGTAAATCATCTATTAGACTGAAAAATGATTGAGTGATTATTGAATCAGGGAGTTACTAGTATTTCTTTTTGACGTGTAAAACCTTCTACCCATATGTTCTGAAAGCCTGATCCAATTTATAATTTTAGCTTCCCCCCCCATTGCTATCATAAATATGAATTAGTGAATTACATCACTTTGCAATTTCATTACTAGATGTTTTCGGATTCTATGTAACCGGGAATATGGATGATGCCATTCGATTTGCCGTAAGAAATTTTCATAATGCCGCTATTATTGAATATCATGTCCCCAAACAAATGTTATGCCATTTTAACTACAAATATTTTCATCGTGGCGAATATGAAGATTGGATTGAATTTACCGAGTTATGTCGGCAAAATAAAGGTGATCATTCGTATGATATTGTTGAAGGTCCTTGCCGTTCGAAACACCGTGGATGCCGTCTGTACTGTAAACCTGCTAGTCATCAAATAGCCATTTTATCTGATATTGTGGCTAAGATTTTTGACTCTAATCAATCAAGGCTTCTTAAATTAGGCAAATATGGGGACGATAATTATGATTCTGATAATAATAGCGATAGTGATTCTAGCGACTCTATCGATGATGAAAATAATCACTGTGATAGAAAGCGTTAGAGCATTAGTAAACAATCAGAGCATGAAATTTCATTATTTTCAAGTGTTGCTATTAATAACTGAGTTCAAAAGACGGAGATAATTCAGTAATTAATTAATAGTTAAAAAATTGGATGATACTTATCAACAATATTCGGTATTAACCTGCTGGAATAAAAAAGCAATGATTATATAAGCTCGCTGGAGGATGTATGAGATGGTATCATCTAGTCGAATCCTTATCATGCCGCTATTAATTAAATCAATTACATACGTATTCACCATTCTATTTAGATATCAACATCGGATCTACAAGATGTCGATTGGTCATAAAACTTATTTAGAAACGCTTCATAACAGTGGGCCTTCACATAGTCAAAATATTATTTTACAAAGTTTCTGATGTTTAATAAATTTAGGTAAATAATTTCAATCTTTTATGTTCACTGATTCTCATGGACATGATAGTGAAAACTGAGTAAGTGAATGTTCGCACATAGTGCAAATTTCCCTTAATTAACTATCCCCATAAAATAGGTTTGCAATTTACTTGAAAAATGAATGCACACAGTACGCTGTAATCTAGTAATGATTGCTATACCATTTATTTGTTTTACAATTAACTAGCTATGTTATCCTTGTCAACGGATTTATTTGGACACAATTCACTTTAAAACATTCATTACTGAAATGTCATATTCTACACGATGATAAAATATGAGACTATTCTTTCGTGTACGACATTTAGAGCTCTAGGGCTTAGTAAATTAACTCACTTTACTTTAGGCTGTGCTATAACTTAATAATATTTCTTACTCTTAATCATTGCTATAATAATTGATTTCCCTTTTTACTGACAAGTTTTCTGGCTGCTGTAGCACTCTACCCGCCTACGAGTACACTTGATTGTACAATATTCTAGGTGGCAAGTTGATTAATAATATTTTTAAATGCACTTTAACCCATCGCTATTGTTTGCAGCAGATAAGTAACCAAAAATTGACTAGTTTTAACAACAGATTTCGATTTCATGATAAGATTCAACGACACTTGAGGTTTTGAAGGCCATTTAGAAATAGATTTTAATATAAAGTCGCTGTTGAAATGTATTACAAAATGTATAATGTATATGCAAGCTTTTAATCATGGCGTATCTAGTTTTTTGCATCTTGACTATCTCGAAGCCAGTCCAAAAGCTAGCAACGGGCTGGTTCAGTGTCGATGCTAGTACTTAAATAAAGTAATGGCGGGTTGCGTCAGTGACGCATAATATTCATTTTCGTATTTGTAACACAGTTATTATCCTATTTTATAGAAGATACACGGTCGGTTTAATTTAATAAATTATGAAATTTAAATAGCTACTTCTATTTTTGTGAATTCTACCTCTGTTGTAGATTAACGGTCAGCTTGAATGAAAAAAAATTCCAAATGATGATAATGAAATTGAACATAACTACTTTTTATTTCTATAAACTGCATGTCGGTTGCAGATTTACAGTCAGCTCGAATGCGGAAAAAATCAAATAATAAAAATTAATAAAAATATTGGAGTAGTTTATAAAGGTAATTTATAGAGGAACATTTGCAACGAAAGATAAAACGGCATCTTATTTTATCTCAATTTCTTTTTAATCCTCAGTAATTTGTAGCGGCTTATAGAAGAGTATTGATTTATCCATTAGCAGAATAGAAAATAAGTTCTTCAACCTCGCAATGCTCGATAAGTTGCTGTCATAGCTTACCAAAGTGATCTTTGCATGCTGTAAATCACATGATGACAGCTTAAAGCTAGTCAGGACGTCTTTTACCGGTTGCCTTTCAATCTCTATTATCTGTTATTTCCCTTGACAGAATAGAAAATACGTTTTTCAACCTCGTAATGCTCGATAGGTTGTTGCCATAGCTTACCAAAGTGATAAAGTATACTTACAAATCATATGATTACAGCTTAAAGCTAGTTAGGATGCTTTTTTGATCGTTTGTCTTTATACCTCTATGGTTTGCTAGTTAGACTATGAATTGAGTGAGTTGATTCCACACGGATTATTAATACTATTATAAAAGGCACAATTTACGGTTTACTACGCTAATGGATCAGAACATGCTCAAAATCGCTGTTAGAATAGGCTTTAGTGTTAGTCCAAATAGAAAGTTTGAAGTAGACGCGATTACTTACATATGGATTTATTTGCACATTTGGAAGCAGAGTAATTTCAGTAAAGTACATCAAAAATGAATACTGTATGCATGTCATGAAGTGACCATTGCTGACTAATGCTAATCATATTTTCATAAGATAACCTTTAGTGGTCCATATTGGGATTGCCGTTATCGGTGACTTTTTCCATTCATTTTTAGCTAAATGAACAGTTTTGCCCCATTATAATTATCTATGAAGTGATCACTTCTGTTTAATGATTGATGATGTTTTACTCTAAATTGGCTGACTTTTGAATAAAGTTTGGGTTCAGTTTTGTCTAAAGAGAGACTTGGAGGTAAATGTTGGAAGGAGAAACATGGCAGTAAAGTGATAGTATTAGTTTTGCTTGTACTTTAGTGGTTTTATCCTTATTCGGATTGGTGACCCTATGATAAGTCGCCTCTTCTATGAACTGTCGTTTCCTCTCCCTCTCAAATACAAATAACCATCTTGCAAGGTTGGTACAACTCACGGACTTTAAATTGCTTTATACGAATCACGATCCATCGGCAAATTGCGATGCGGTATAGCACTAGTTACAATATTAATTAATGAAACTTTTCAGATTGGTAATAATCCCAAAATATCGGCCCTTCCATTCATGTACATAAAGTATCGTTTCCTGCCTCTCTCTACAGCATAAAAATTCTAGAATTAAGATCGGCTACCGTTGTGATTATTTACGATCCTCGCGATGTACTGTAAACTAGTAGAGTATATAAGAAAATTCGCTAGTTTTCTAAAAGTAAGTCCTGAATCCGGACATCTACAACATTGTATACTATCTATTGCTCAGTATAGACTCTAAATAAACGTTACTACTCTAATCCTTACTCGGATAAGATACAGTGGACGCCGCTTCTTAAACCCGGCTGGCCACTATATCCGTGGGCACTATAAGCGGCGTCCACTGTATTAGGCAAAAATAATATTATCGGAAAAACAGACAAGTCTATAAAGTGAATGCAAAATGCAGCGCCAGCTCCTGGTCAGGTGCTCCTACCCTTCTTTTACTGGAATGCGATATTGCAGTTATAATTATTAGGCAAAAATATTCTTATCGGAAAGCAGACAAGTCAATAAAGTCACTGCAAAATGTAGCGCTAGCTCCAGGCCAGGTGCTCTCTCCTACTCTTCTTATACTGAAAAGCGATATTGTAATTATAATTGTTAGGGAAAAACAGATAAGTCAATAAAATCACTGCAAAATGTAGCGCCAGCTCCTGGCCAGGTGCTCCTACCCTTCTTTTACTGAAAAACGATATTGCAATTATAATTATTAGGGAAAAACAGACAAGCCATTAAAATCACTGCAAAATGTAGCGCCAGCTCCTGGTCAGGTGCTACTACCCTTCTTTTACTGGAATACGATATTGCAGTTATAATTATTAGGCAAAAATATTCTTATCGGAAAGCAGACAAGTCAATAAAGTCACTGCAAAATGTAGCGCCAGCTCCTGGCCAGGTGCTCCTACCCTTCTTTTACTGAAAACCGATATTGTAATTATAATTATTAGGCAAAATATTATTATCGAACATAACTTCTCATCAGATACTAAAGTGGAACCCCAAAGTTTCCGAAAATGGCTGTCAGCGAGCATCAAGTCACGTGATACGTTGGACTGATTACTAATATTTTAATCATAATTAATATTTTAATTATAATTATTATTCATTAGTAGCCAGTAGGATAGGATAGGAGAAACACTATTTTTCCTGGTCATTTTACTATACCGGATGGCTGTAACTGTACACTATACTATAGGCCGCCAACTTGATGGTTATTATCGTGGACAGTCTAATGTACCGTTACAGAGGTACAGTACAGTTAAAATGACCAGAAAAAAATGTGGCGACAAACATTTTGGCTGGAGAACTGGCGTTTCCTATACACAACAAGTTATTCAAGGCGTACAATTGGCCGCGGTACTGAACTCAGTCTACTGACCAGAACACGACCACGGAGGATTTGCTGAATTGGCTGCCATCGTCTTCCTTCTCCATCCAATGTGGAATCGCTTTCCAACAATTTGCTCAGTATTGTGCACTTGGATTGGAGTAGTAGATCAATTATAATGACCATATTCTACGATTTAAATATCCAATACACGGATGATCGGAGAATGGTTGCAAAATGTGTGGACATGTTAGTTAAAGGTAGGCTGATTGCACAATTTTCGACGTGGTAGGCGAGTCCGATCCAAATGCAAATTAATAAATTAGTAGCCATTTTATACTGCACAAGTAGAAAAGCAATTAGGAAGAGTGTTGATCAACTACTTTATAGCTCAAGCTTAATCAATTTATATTCTCTACCTTCTCGTTACAATGGTTTATTTATTATGCTACTTGTTCTGTAGCTTAACTTACTTCTATTTGTACTCTGTCAGCTGTAGTCATTTGACTTCTATTTCGATCAAGTGTAATTCGTGTCATGCATAGCGATCAAAGCTAGAACTAATATCTTATTAGTTTCCCAGTAACTCATGGTATAGCTGACAACATAGTTGCACATTGCACATTGTATTGCAGACTTACGCAATGCTTAGCATCAACCTTTATGACATTCTAGTAGATTATTGTTTGCCTCGTCTTTATAGTAGCTCAGTGATTATGCAACTGATTTTGCAGCTTAAGGGTGTTTCTATCGGTACGCTGGCACAATGTATTGCAGACTTACCCAATGCTTAGCATCAACCTTTAAGACATTCTAGTAGGTTATTTTTTACCTCCTCTTTGTAATAGCTCAGTGATTATACAACTGATTCTGCAGCTAAAGTGTGTTTTTATCGGTGCACTGGCATTGTTGGCTGTAGTAATTGACTTTTATTTCGATCGAGTGTAATTCGTGTCATGCATAGCTACCCAAGCTAGAACTAATATCTTATTAGTTTCCTAGTAACTCATAGTATAGATGAGAATATAGTTGTTTATTGCACAATACATTGCTTAGCAGCCTGCTTATTTTAAAAAAAAAAAACATATACTGTACTGTTGTCTTACCCAATGCTTAGCATCAACATTTGAGACATTATAGTAGGCGATTCGTTGCCTCATCTTTATAATGGTTTAATGATTATGCTACTAATTCTGCAGCTTAAGGTTGTTTCTATCTGTGCTCTGGTACTGTTGGCAGTAGGAATTGACTTCTATTTCTATCAAAAGTAATTTGTGTAATGCATAGATATGAAAGCTAGAACTAATGTCTTGTTTGTTTTTGGCTAACGTATGGTATAGCTGAGAACGTAGTTGCATATTACACAATGTATTGCTTAGCAGTTGACTTGTCCAACGCTTAACATCAACCTGAGATAGTATAGTAGGTTGGATTCCTTCTATGCACACGGAAGTGTTATTGTTCTAATGGATATTATAACCATTTCTTCGTCTGTATCAGTTGGATATCATTCGATAGCAGTTAATCAAGACTTAAGACTGGAAAAGAAGATTCCATCATCAGTAAGTTTGATAGCTTTGCTACTTGCTAGTGAAACATCTCAATTCTTACGTCATCTTAGAAGAAAAAGTGTAGATGTAAATTTCTATTATTAATCAACCCTAAATTAACCAGAAGGAAGACAATAATGACGAATAGTACTAACTACTACTGTACTAACTAGACTGCTTTATGGATTATGAAAACTAGATTGTTCCATGTTGTCAAGATATTCAGATCAGTGAATCCTCCAAAGCGCATATTCAGGTTGTCTTCACAATTACGATTTGCTTGTTTAACACTATACTATGTACAATATCTAAGTCTGCACAATTTGCAGTTTTTGTTATAAAACTTCTTATTCATTTTTTAGGCTAGCGGTCGTTCTTTCAATCAATATAATCGTGTTACTATCTTACTAGAAAACCATAGCCAATTGCATCATATGCAAAGTGAATGCGTCCAACAGTTTGATATTGTTGCTGTTCAGCCAACAACTGAAAAGTTATTTCAGGTGAGCTCTTAATGAATTATACAAGCGCACTATCAGACTCTACACTACTGATTTCTATACCCGTTTTATGAAGAAACCGTAGAATAACATAATTGGCCCATAAATTACAAACTAACCTCTCCTTTCATTTTTATCAATTTATACCCCAATATCAGCAAGCGTGCATGAACCTAGAAGTCGATATAATCTCCTTAAACTTGACGGAAAAGTTACCCTTCTACTTAAAGATACCCCCCGTACAACAGGTCTTGTGAATGCGAAGAAAACAATACTATGCTTACTGATTTTAATATCCGTAACTTGATTGATTTCGTCAATTTAATGTTCGATTCGACTATAGTCTAGCTGATTGCTGAAATTGTTTAATCATCAGAGACCAATATTTACATCGTTTACATTATATAATTATAATTTATCCGTAGGCAATTGAAAAAGGTATTCATTTCGAAATTAGCTATTCGCCTACTATTCGTGACTCTGGGTTACGACGTCGTGTATTAGCAAACGCCATTGAAATCATTAGAGTTACGAAAGGCAAAGTAAGTTCTCTCTTAATGCCGGTAAAAACTATGATAAATACTAGTTATCTCAGAAGCTTGTGTTATGCTTCTATGGCTAAATACGTTATTGTACAGCATTATTATTATTATTTGCAACAGAACGTGATTATCACAAGTGGTGCAGAAAAGGTATTGCTGAAACACTTCACCAATATGTAGAATGTCGATAAGTAATTATTTACTAACATTTAATGTTATCTATTTCTATTTGCAAACTCCAACTACTTAAGCACATGGAAATACGAGGTCCATACGATATAGCTAACTTGTATCTTTCATAGCTCTATGTGACTATATTTTATGAATACTGTAGAATTATGACAAAGTTATTTCACTTAGCTGCTAAGTATCAAGGCAAAGTAACCTTAAACTCTGTGAGGTGTACATATTATGCAATAAGTCACAATTGAATAGACTCTATCTTTGTTGAGTATTCCTTAATGAAACATACAGAGGACAATTGTTTGGATTGAAACAAGGAGCCGCAAAGCGGTCTATTTGTGAAAATGGTCGAGCTGTGCTTCTTCACGGAGGTTGGTCAGCTGCTTTCTTAGTAGGCATAATGATATTACTTCGGTCATACTGCTAATACTTTGTTGAAATAAACACTATAGTAGCTAGGCGAAATACAGTAAAGTCGGTGATAGCTTGTCGTCCAGCAGCGTTGGTAACTGAGATTGAACATCAAAGATTAGAAGGCTATCCAAAAGACTCATCAAGTAAAAGAGCTGCCTCGCCGATAGAAGAGAATGAAATGTGTAAACGAAACAAGACAGATTAATGTAGTACCGCATAATTAGTTGCAATGAAGTTAACTAAATATGCATATTTATTAGGGTTATAAGCGTTATGTTTTGCCCCATACTTTTTATCTAAAAGATGGTACCGTTAGTCAATTGCACATTGTATTGTCACTTTGGTTCATGTAGCTACAGCTGATATAATGCTCTAACTGCTGAAGATAGTGAAAATATCCAAGTTGGCCTAAAATATATTTAGTAGTAGAGCTCAGGGACGAAAATAGGCTACTAGATTAATTCCGGATCGCATGGCGCTACTGTAGTAGCGTCACTACAACAACCCTTTATTAGTCGTTGAACCTACTTCAAGGGAATACAAGCCTATTTTTCTGGTATAACAGATGACGCCATCAATGGGTACAATTAATATTTCATACGAATATCGATATAAACAGATGTATAATAGCCAATTTACTTGCATTAAGCTGCAAGGCTTACGTTAATTATAATTCGATTTTGGCCTCGGAAATAACGAACCTGTCAATTAATAGATTACTTTTATATATTAACGTTATATACTGTAGTTATAACGTTCTTTCTCAGATTTGAACCAGCAATTGAATTTTTGGTTTATTAACTTCTATCTAAATCTTTATTGTTATTATAATTGTCTTACATGATGCTTACTATGATATTTTAATGCAGTCATTCAACGATTCTGATACTACGTATTAGGAAAATGTTATAGTGCATGTACAGAATATTAATCCAGTATGTCCTTATGATGGTAAATTTTTCGTCGAATAAACAAATTTAAGCACATATTCTGTAACTTTTGTTATACTGTTTAGCATTCAAAGATAGAATAAGATTCAGAATCTATCGTAGTTGTTCTAACAAATTTTACTAGCAGTTTACCTAAGTAAAAGATGTCTGTTGTTAGCAGTTTTGGAAACCAAAAAAATCGTATTTCGTAAAGGCGGTATATTAAGTTCATTGAAAATCGTACATATGTGCTTACAGATCTATAAAGTTGACAGCAATGATCATAGATAAATTTACCGAAACAAGAATTAGTTCTTTGCTTGATTTAATGACTTCTATACCTATAATGTTAATATGTAGCATGCACATTACTGCCCTATTTAAATACTAATCATGATATTCTATCAATCACCAGTACAACTTGAAAATATCAATGTGCCCGATACACTTTTCTACCTGAAAAAAAAATCATTTTCTGAGATATACAAACGAAGACAATCCATTATATGTCTAAAAATGTAAGCTAAGCTGGATTCTAATGATGTGTAAAAGATAGCGCGAAATTGTTTCTAGAATTGCATTATAACCTATCATCCAAAATTTGAGGTAATAATGACAATCCTATGCAGGTATTGTACATGGAATGAGCTAAAATATCATAAATGAGAATATTAATTATATCATGTTCAAATGCGCTAAAATATGCGATCTAATGATTTTGCTATCGTTTCTCTGCTGTACATGCAGTACTATCGATACCGTTTTACGCATGATGCTATGACACTATTAGTAAAAGTATGCCACAAACCAAAAACGAAACATAGTCTACAATTTAATACAAAAGAAAACAAGTAAAAAGTACATGTACATAGGACATAATATAAGAATTCTATATAATTCATTTCATTATTATTTGTAGTGAAAATGTAAAATAATAAAAAAAAGAGTTAAAAGATATAATTGATTAATAATCATCATTATCTATTACTTTCCAAAGCGTAAAATCATAATGAATAAGATAAATCATCGTACTTTAGCTATACACTTGTAAACTATACGCTATATCTTTTTTAAAAATGAGTAGATAATCTTTATAATTTATCAAAACAATAGTTAGATAATTTAATGGTTATTTTCTAGCATTCTTTTTCTAGTAAGGTATAATCGTGGTCTTCGTCGCTATCATCAATTTCGTTATCACTTTGTATTGCTTTAAGAATTTTTTTGATATGATTAAGTGACGTAATACCCATATCTGTTAACCTCTTCTCATTCAAAACAAGTAGATTTTTGACATTAACTATATTAGAATTCACAAATAAGCGGACGTAGCACTCCAACTTTAGATCTTCTAGCCAAGATGAAATTGAGATATCCGCAACGCTATCAAATTTTATTTGTAATAAGTAAACCATCATCTGTTACAATATTAAAGCGAAACATAATTAAATGTCAGCTTGTGAAATAACTTACTTTGTATCCACAAAAACATCTAAATCATCCGGCAGCCTAAACAGATTATCGAAAAACTGAACGATGTTAGAAAACGTAGGTCTTTTGGATCTGTCATTCAGCTGGCATCTAAGCATTAAACTGTAAATGCATCTTGGACATTTCTAGCAAGATTAAAAGAACGGGACTTAGTACTATACCAAATGATTAATAGTGTAACAAGATTAAATTCTGAAATAAAATTATGCTTGTAAAATATAGGTTGCGATTCCATGTTCAGAAGCATAAGAGCGATATGTTCGATAACGGCTGCAGACAATTTTGTAATATTTTCATTACATATCCTCACAATAATATAAATATTAATAGCAAACTGTGAAAACATATTACATATTAGTTTACGCTTTAATAAATAGGCAATTTAGCAGTAACAATTAAATTTGAGAAAGGGACATTTTTAAATGATGCTATTTGTGATATCATAAATTTGAATTTGTTGCACAAAAATGATGGACATATCGTTTGGAACTTGACTAAGTGTCAATTGAATTATGAGCGGTATCCTACCTCTGGTGGAGCAAGTCGATATCCTTGGTTTACATAGTGCATGATCTAGTAAATAAATCAACAAGAATATTGATGGAGGATAAACACATTAATTTTCTCAGTTTCACTACAGTAAAATATCTTATATGACAATAATAAACGATAATGAGTCATATTCTATATAATCAGACCTTTTTATTTCCCCATTCTCCATAAGGTCGAGCAGCGTAAGAAAAAATTTCCCATAAAGTGATTCCATAGCTCCAAATGTCACTAGCTGTAGTAAAACCACGGGATATGATAGCTTCTGGTTCCGTCCATCGTAAAGCAATTTGACCTCCCTACGTATCAGAATAAACAGTGAATTAAGAAATTCGGGTAACAAAGTGAAATTTGCCAATTTGGGGAAGTGAATCAAGTAGCAAGGTAAGATTTCAGCGAGATGTTATACTTCGGTAGTATATTGCGCTTGATCCTCTTCATCATCTTGTTGCACTTCCCTAGATAGACCAAAGTCAGCAATTTTACATAGCATCATATCGCCTACCAATACATTTCGTGCGGCTAAATCCTACGCATAGAGAAATAATGTCTCTAATTAATTACAGTTACCAATTCAGATTTTAGACGATCTCATAAGGTACCATAATATTATAAATTACTAGAGAAGATTTAGTTAGTAATAAATATAATATGATCTTATTTCAGAAAATTATATTGAGTATTCATGTGTTGTTAGGAATTCATATTGAGATTAATATTGTAAATTTAATCATAACTATTAGAATATTACGACATCAATTTGGCTAATCATATCATATGGAAATTTACCCTATGAATAAAACCCTTATCTGATAAATATTCCATTCCTGCAGCTACGCCACTAGCCATACCCGCTAGTTGTAATTTGGTAAATTTATGGTTATTTTCCTAAATAATTTATCGAAGGTAATATTATTATTTTAGGATGAGAAATTCGGAGTAACTCATTTACGTTTTTGTGCATAGAATTGGAGAAATTTTTAGCTAAACATTCGAAATGAACTTCATACTTACTCTAAGGTAGTTATCTAGGGACTTATTTGCTAGGTATTCCATCACGATCATTTTAAGTCGTCCTAATTTTAATAAATTTGGTATACAATAGAAATTTTAAACAATAATAATTTATTACAAATGATATTAAAACGTTTGGTAACCTCTTGTCAATCAAAATAATTACCTTTACTTAAAACAACACCTTCAACTCGTACGATATTCCTATGTTCAAATTGAACTATCATAGCCGCTTCCATTAAGAAGTCCTTCTTCGCTTTTAATGTGCAGTCCTCCTGATTTTGATACAGTAACACATAAGGTAGTATTACTGCTACATGTAGACTTCAATAATGATCAATATAGGACAAAAATTTTAAATAAGCATAGTTACTTTAATCGATTTAACAGCAACATCTATTTTTTCTCCCGAATCTTTAGTCCAGACGGCTCTACTTACTGAGCCAAATTGACCTGCGAGTTAATTATAGCTTATAAGACACTGTTCATAGTCTAGTAATACAAATGAAGTGGACTAAAATTATTACGAATGTATGAGATTATTAATTGTACAGCCTTTGAACTAGTTTAATTTGAGTACAAGTTTATAAATTTTGATAACATAATCCGTACAAGTAATGCATGAGACTAAAAAGTAAATTATAACAGTATACAAAGATATAAAATGTTCTTAATTAAGATACTAAATCGAAGGTTGTATTGCATAAATACTTTTAATAATTTATATAAATAAAGAAATCATAATCTTGCCTAACACGTTGATAATACCTGTATTTATGATGAAATACATCGAAGTTATGGTAACCCGTCACATGATATCTCTCAGTTATTTGCATGCTAAGTATATGTGCTATTCTATTATTTTTATTATAAGTTGTTATATAAATTACGCAAAATTTAAAAATGATATGGGTAATTTTTTATTTTTTATCTTGTTAGATACACTTTGGGTTTGGCTAGATTTGTCTTTTAGATATTAAATGTTAGTAGTCTTATGTAATATTAGTATCGAAAATTATATTACATTAGTGTTATATTGGTTAAGAATTTAGGTACGAAAGTTATAGATGATGTACTTGAGATAATATTACACTATTGCTAAAAGTTTATTCTATCATTGTTATTGGCAGTTATAATTAAATTATATAATTCATGTAACTATCATAACGATTAGGAAAATATTTTGGTTAGGCTTACTAGGGTTTAATCTACAGCACGTTAACTTTACAAGGAGAGACATGTGCTACATTGCAAATTTGCAACAATCATTAGGTTAACATCATGTACAATCACTCGCTAAATTATTCCTAGTTGTAAAATTGATAAACAGACTTTAAACAATGGTATAAATAAATTATACATCAAACAAAATTAGTGTGAATTGGTCCAATAGTATTAGCCGAATTCAGCTCTTACAAATTATAGCAAAGTAATATTAGCTATGAAAATATATTTTACAGATATATTTAAAGGTTGTCATGTACTTTGTTGGACAAATAATGGCACCTATAATAATACACATTAGCATACCTTCGCCAATTTTATCTTCAATTCTAATTGCTGCATCAGGTAACTTTTTAGCTAATCTTTTAATTGCTTCTTCCATATCACCAAAATCAGCAGGATCAACGTAAGTAGCATGATTTACTAAAGATATGGTGGAGATTGTAAAAGTAGTAAATAGGAATACTAGTAGTTCAGTCAAGTATCCCACTAAGATGCTTGTAGTTAATGTTATATGCATTAATATAGATATATATCTATATATTTAAGGCACTGTATATGCAAAGACATTTGTTTAATTCCGTTGTTACAGTCAATTCAATACATGCATATAGTATCACCACCATAATTACGATAATAAAAAAACGCAGCCTGGGAATGATAACGGTAATGGTTTTCATAGACTTAGTATTTTGATATTATTTACGGTAAATTTTTAAGAGACGGATAGGAATTAGTATGAGTGAGAAAATGATTACTTTAAGAGCAAATATTAAAATGCTTAGTGAGTTGTCAGACAAAACTATTTAGGCCCTTTTTTGATGCAAATTCACCACTTTTCGCTTTTTTACCGTCATTGAGCGTAATCTCCACTCCAGTATAATGTTTTAAAGTCTTTTTACGAAAATTTCTCTTCCTAACATTACACATATGTATAGAAAGCGTTAGAGAAGAAGTAATGCTACTGATCTATAATTTCCTACATCATATGTAACATATGTGAAAAATTGACCAAACTTTAGTAGATTATATGAATAACAGTGTTACCTGGTTACTACAACACCAACTATTGCTAATATAAGGATTAGTAACATCACTGATGAGATGATGATACCCAATAGCCAACTGGGCATCGTAGATGGTAAGTAACCAACACTCGTTGAGTTGATCGTCGTAGTGGTGGATATCACTTGAGTTGGTCTGCTTGTAGAAAAATCACTGCCAACACTATTACTAAAACCTATCATAAAATAAAAAAGTATTTTAAAGTTATGTTCACTGCTGAAAGAGATTTACATAGATATATTGATATAAATAAATATTGAATACTTTAAACTAAATCATGACAAGTAGGCAATTAAAATAGACAAAGTTTTTATTATCACCAAATTGTCTTTAATTCATCGATTGCCTTACTTTGACTACTTTGGGTATTTTTGGTGCTGATGGCAATTGTAGAGGTGTTGATGTCGTTGGTTTTGGAGTAACAATGTTGTATGTTGTAACTCTAGCAGAGATCATTGGTCCTTCACCAAATTTATTCCAAGCTTTAACCTGGCATTGTAATTTAAATGGGATGATAAATTAAAATTTGCCATAAGAATCATAACAGTATGGCGTTCAATACATGCTTATAATACCAAGTATGAGAGAAAGAGTATTTGTAATAAAAATATGACCACAATTTTTTGATAAACATGACTTTTATAATTAAATACCTGAATGAGGTAAGGCGATTGAGGTCTTAAAATATTTAAAGTAATTGTAAAAGATAAACGCTCAACAGATTTAGATCCATTTAAGCCTTGAACTTGATTCTGATTTGCATCTAATAGCCAATAAAATATTCTATATTCTTCAATTAATGCTCCATTATTAGATGATGGTGGATCCCAAGAGATGGTAATATTAGTACTATTGATATGAGCTTGAACATTGAGATTGATCGGCGGATGTGTTGGCTCTAACGCAAAGTAAAGTTGTATCAATACAATATTAAAAACTAAAAGCAATCATTTTTATGCTATTATTTTGCATCCTTTACTAGACAACTATCTTAAAAAATTTCGAGATGTTGGATTATATAATTATAGCTCCATCATTGAATCAAGTTGACTTACTTCCTGAAAGTGTGGTGATTGATCGATTTCTACAAGGCTCCTTTCGTAACCGAAATTCTCTTCTATCGGTTTTTAATATTATTTCCGGGGTAATCGAAATTTGATAGCTTGCTTCAATGCACAAATCTGTAAATGTGAAGCTAGTGCCATTGAGCTCTTTTCGGATTGTGGTATTACAGTCTGGACTGCAATTATTTTTACAATTGAGCGAAACAATATACATTGTATTATTGGCAACATCCGAGATGACACTTGACCAACTTAAGGTTATACTATCATATGTTACAGTAGGAATAATGTTGCAGGTGTAGTCTATAATATAAGGAAGAAGGCAAGTTTAATACTTGTACTTTAATAGTTAATATCCGGATTTAGAAATATTTTTACTGTCTTGATGCGAACACACATTTTAATAATATCCTTTTAACTAGTGAACATGATTGATTTATATCCATTTCACGAAACAAAGTCAACTTGATATGACTGTATCAAATGCCTGATAATCTACTTACTGTTACATCTATTCGCTGCTAATACTTTGTTGTTAGGGCAATAGCAGATATGACTTCCTGGATATAAAGATGTTAAAGGAGATGGGCAAAGTGAACATTTTCCTGTTGATATTTGGCTTTTGTAATAACCAGGTTGACAATCTATATCAATAATACAAGATAATCTCTTATCCTTTTATTTTTTAACAAAATTATAAAATATGGTAACAGTGATAGTTTGAAGGAATTGAACGGTTTTCATGAAATTATTTTTATTACCGGAACAATCGCCATTAATTCTTTCTTGCCCTTGAAAGCAAGGGCAACTATTATTAAAATTAGTCCAAGTGCCATTAGGGTTGCATACCATAGTAGCGGGTTTATATGTCAATGTGATGCCTTGCAATTGTATACAATCACCAGAAATTATGACCACTTGATTATTTGTTTGGGTAAATGGAAACACCACATCGTCTTTTTGTATCCGAGGGCATTCTATATGCCATAATTGAACACTGTGTATATGTGGACATCCATATCGATCTGCTAATAGTATTTGTAGGCTATAACTGCTTTTGCTAGTTGGATTCAACGGAATAACCTGTAATTGTTTCGGCATTTGTTCATCGTTATAACTTTGAATATCTGGCAATTTGTCTGCATCTTCTTGATAGCCAATCAGAGTTTTATCGACTAATTCCTATAATTATAATAGGAAGTAAAAATTGATTATTTCGTTTATCGTTGACTTAACAAGAGCAATATGAATGTACTAGACTTATTGGCTAAAATGAGTCAATTTTTTACCTTTCGTAAAACACTGCTATCATTTTACGCGTAATATTATTATGGTCCATGAAAATGTATATTAAGCCAAATTTTAAATAGAACTATGGTAACTCATCATATACCGTACGTCAAGTAATGTTAGAATAACCTTTCGATGTTACTTACGTTAGCAAAATTTCTATTTAGGAGGTAGTTTAGTTTTAAGATTTTAGTACATTGTGGAACAAAGCAAGCGGAAGTAAAGTTGACCGAAATGAATAGCCTGTCGGTAGGTACAGCCTGAATTTCAGGGGATATTAACCAAGTAGTAACATTGGAAGGGTTCAAGCACGTAGTGTAGCTGTTACTAGGACTGTTGTAAGTAAATAAGCGGGAGTTCTAAATAAGTTGAAAGATAAAAAACAAATGATGATTTATTAATGCGTTTTAATACAATATTGGCATCTATATTATAAGAAGGAATCATTGGGCATGCAATATCTTATACACATGTTTGCATCTTTTCTTACTTTATAAGCTTAAAAAGAAATCGACAAAGCACTATTTCATGATATAACAACCAATCTTGTTATAGCGCAAGTAGCCTATTCAAAGCCCATGATTATAAAAAAAAGAATAAATTACCGTGCTATTGCTTAAGCTTCTCCAACCATTCCATCGATCTTTATCCGTGTTAATGCTATAGATGATATCTGTCACTGAAAGAGAATAATAATTGCCCCCAAAATATGTTAATAGCATGATTGATTGCATTTTATTTGTTGTTATGCTTATACTTTTCAAACTAGGCTGAATTTAATTTATAGGTATGCCTCCATCTCCTTGACTGAGATAACAAGCAGCAGAAGTTGGCTCAGTTTAATTGAGTTACTTCGAGTGTAACTTGATCTTCTTGATTAATAATTAAAAAGAAGAGGCTGCGATTATACTAAGAACGCCAGTTTAAAGTATCATCTCGACAAAAGTTGATGATAGGCGATCATAACACTAAACGTTATGAATGAATAACTAATTCAAACCTAGTCAAAAATTAGAGTCCAACTCAATGCATTGGATAGTATCGCTTTCTATCTCATCGTTGTAACGAATTGATGAGCATGGGTGAAATTTGTAATCAATCAAGATAGATTGATCGTATAATCCGAGTTAATTGAAATAGCCTTTCACTATTTGCTTCCTAATGATCTTTTCACGGATCCAATATATAAACTATTGTCAAAGTAAAGAAGCTACGAGAGATGATTCTATCGCTTTCTACTTCTATGTGCCGTTGGAAGTGCTAGCACAATACCATTATTGACTACTTCCACTTACGGCGTAAAGCTAACAATCGACGTAAGCTATCATTGAATTAAGCTATTCTACCTATTCATTTTTTGGTGTCCATCATATTTATTCATTAAAGTAGGCATCTTCCTTTTTTTTATTCTTCTAAATCAATATATGGACTTGTCTTTCATTTTATGATGATTTAACGATTTAAACAACGATTCAACATCATGAATTGAATGAATAGAAAAATTGCTGATCATTGAGTAAAAATGGCTGTTACACTTTTTGTGCATGTTTTTTTATTGAAGATAAAGCAAGTTATTTTCCTTGGTTGCTACGACTAAGAAACTTCTTTAGTATTGAGATACCTGACCATATCATGAATTTGGTGGATTTGAAAATACAGCACGAGTAACGCGACTGTTGATTGCAATATTAGTGATTGATTGATGCTATCAAAAGGCGAATTTTGGAATGATGATGATAGGCAAAGATTCTTTGTGGCGAGACTGACTATGAAAAAGCTTTTAATCGTTGGTGATTGATAATGTCAACATATTATTTTTATTTAATTATGACGGGCAAAGGTGAATGAATTCTTCTTTGAGTCATGAAATGGACGAAGAACTATGATCAAGAAAGATTTTAGGACACTTCACAATTTTTTTTTATGTACAGTATACATTCATTAGAGACCCTTAAAGGTCTGTAATATCCATGCATGGCAAGCTTTATCGACC